GCAGAATGGGGCCAGCTTGCTTGTCTCCAGGTATGTTCAGGATAAACTACCATCACCACACACACACACACACACACACACACACATACACATCTGGTCAGTTGCCCCAGTTCTTACCACCTTCACTGTCCCCTCCTGGGAAGAGAGCAGCGAGCAAGGGGAGTAGCAGGAACAGCATGGCCCTTGCAGATGCTATTTCTTTCTCTGAGAGAAGTCATCCTTTGATTTCTGTTCTAAATAAACCTACCCCAGGGACCTCTCTTCTGACTTCCTTATTCAACAAAAACACAAACCTCTCCTGCCTGAAACAAAGACAATCTGCTCCCTCCCAAAACCCTGAGCTCCTACTCAGTTTCCCATTTCCCCAGCTATTCTGACTCCCTGCCCAGTCTTCCAACTTCTCTCACAGTTACAAACTTCCATCCTGTTCATCTTCCCCTAGTTCAACTGCTAAGGAACAAGTCACATGTGACTAAGAAAAGTCCCTTACCACTAGGAACACTTCTTTTATTGCTGGGTATAGAACCCAGAGTCTTAAGCGTTTCTCTTATTGTAACAACTTTGAATTATCCCCCATGTGTCCTCTTCCCTACCCCATCCCCCACTCCACCTCATTCATATCTCTGACATCACCGATTACTTTATTTCATTTTTCAGAAGCCCCTATGTTTGTCCTCTGAAACAGTGTCACCTACTGAGTCCGTGGATCATGTATCCAAGGCTGGTTCCATGGGACATTCAGCCAATGTAGTAACACATTTAATTCTCTATGATCACCACCTTGAATTTTATAGTAATTTTTTTGAATATCTGTTTCAATGAACTTTGCATGGGACTCATAGTTGCCTCCCCAGCTTATGAAGGGTTCTTCCTCCCACAACCTCACCTGCATGCTCAGCACTCCTCCACCTGCTCCCCACTGTCTCAGACCTTGGCAACTCTAGAATCTTTCCATCCAACTCCATCTTGCCACCACTGCACTAACCATGTTTCACTGAAGGCCCCTTCTGTCATCAACCTCTGCCACTATTTCATGCCTTGCAGGCACAATGGGAGAAGGGGACATACACCTAAAAGTGTGGGCAGAACTTAGGCGCAGCTGTCCCATCCAATGTCCGCACCAAATTGTTTTGTAGCTGGTCAGGGTGAGCCTCTTGCCCACTCTTGTTCCAACTATCACATGCATCTCCATGTAATTTGGTTCCAATTTCTCAGTGGTTACCCATATGCAAAGTGTTGGGGTGACCATTTGGGAAAAGGGAGATTAACTTCACCCTTCAGTCCAGCACAGGCAATTAGAATAGCCACAGCAGCAGGAACCAGGCAGCCAATGGGTAGCTTGTCTAACATCATGGAGTGGAGCCCCCAGGTGGTAAGAGCTCCTCCAACCATCCTGAGAGTATCTCTGTGCCCGAGGGATGCAACATTGGGAAACTAAATAAAAACACAGAGCTTAACCTTCCATAGAAATAAAAAAGTTTTGTATGTTAGTACTTTTAAGAGCACTCCCACCCCTACCTTTTGAGCACAAATCTGCTATGATCTGAATCTTTATGTCTTCCCCAAATTCATATATTGGAATCCTAACCACCCATGTTATAGTATTAGGAGGTGGGCCTTTGAGAGGCGATTAGGTTATGCAGTTTCAACATCAGAAATGAGATTAATACTTTATAATAAGGACGCCCAGAGAGACCAAATTACCCTTCCACCATGGAAAAAATATTCTAAAGGACACTTTGATGATCCAAAATGCAGGACCCTTTTCAAACAAAATCTACCTTGATCATGAACTTTCCAGACTCCAGAAAAATAATTTTCTAGTGGTTATAAACCGCCCAGCATACTGTGATAGCAGCCAGAATGAATAGGACAAGTCTCCACATTTTCATTTTTCCCTGAACTGTACAAAATATATGACTGCTGCACTTGAGTGTAAAGTGGGGAAAGCAAGGAGAAGACAGGTGGTTTAGAGTAGAAAAAAGAGGGAAAAAAATTAACTAAATAAGGAATGCGGTTCTGGGACCAAAATGTAGTGAACTGATAAGAGAAACAAAGGATATTACAGAAGCAGGAGAGGGAGGAAGAGATTAGTGAGCATTTTGCTTCTGTGACCAAAGAACCTGGAAAAAAAAAACAATGTTAAGTAGAAAAAGTTTATTTTGGGTCTCTGTTTCAGAGCTCTTAGTCCATAGATGGCCACCTTCACTCCTCAGGGCCCAGGCGAGACAGGACATCATGGGAGAAGAGTGTGGCTGAGGAAAGCAGCTCTGGACATGGCCACCCAGAAGGAGAGAGAGAGAGAGAGAGAGAGAGAGAGCGCTCCACTCATCGAGGACAAAATATATGCCCCAAAGTCACACCCCCAGGAACCCACCTCCCCAGCCACACCTACCAGCCCACAGTTACACTCAGTTAGTCCCTGTCTGGGGATTTATGCACTGACAGGGTTAAGGCTCTTATGACCCAGTCATTTCACCTCCAAACCTTCTTGCACTGTCTCACACATGAGCATTTGCAGGACACCTCATACCTAAACTAGTGGAAGGATAGAAGAATTCAAAGTAACTTTCCCCTTGACTGTCCCCTGGCAGAGTGGCTCCTGATCAGAGATGCAGGTAGCAGCTGGAGCTTGGGTCAGAGTCCCACTGAGGATCTCCCCAGGCCACTGCACTCCTGAGTGAGCTCTCAGCTGTGGAGGGTGAAAGACAAGGTCTGAGGAGGACAGAGGAAAGGATGGAGTCCACTGGGAGCTGCCTGGGGGATGCTGAGATCTGGGGGAGCTGAGAGAGAGCAACACTGTAGGAGAAAGTCAAGAGACAAAGTAGGTGGGAAGTGTCCAGGACCAAAATGAAAGAGAACATCTTTGACAGAGGAGATGTTATAGAGATCACTGATGGTGGTGTGCTCCATCATCGCAGGAAAAGATGAGGAAAATCCAGGTGATTGGGACAGCTCAGCCAGGTGGGGTGATCCAGCTATCCCAGGGGCATCCAGGACTCTTCCCTTTGTCACAAGCCCTTCCCTCAGGATTCTTCTTCTTGAATAATCATTGCTTAGGGAACAAGCATGCTTATGTTCTTCCTAAAATGCCTCATTGTTGCTCCCCTCCATGCCACCAATCCTCCTGATTTTCTCCTTCCCCCCACACACAGTTTTTCTCAGACCCAGAGGTGAACTCCCCTCCCCACACAATCTCACTTTGCCATCTGTCTGCTCCCACCTCATCAACACCCACCTCAGCTTCCCTCCTGAGAAACCCCCTCTCTGTCATACCCTTTGTAAGGTCATTGATTAGTATCTGGGCAGCCATCTTAAGTGACAGCCGCCATTTTCCCACCCAAGGGCCTTTCCAGGAAAATCTCACCACTTCCTCACACCAACCCCACCCTTAACTACCCACATTAGAACTCACTGGCTCTAATCTATGAGCCTCCCCCATAAAAGTCTTGAACCCCAAGCCTGTGTTGCCTCACTCTTTTATGGAGAGATGGCCTTTATTTGTCAACTCTGACAAATAAACTCTCCTGTGTATCTCTGCCTGGTCTCCATCTTTCATTTCTCGCTCCCCTGTCTCCTGGTTCCTCACTTTCCTTTCATTGTTGCCAAATCCTGGGATCTGGTTCCCTGGTGTGCTCGCTCCCCTCTTTGAGGGTCACAGAGCATCCCCAGGCCCTGATCCCAACACCATTATGAAACCAGGCCCTCCATTCTGCCCAATGCCCTCTCTGCACCCACCACCAGACATTTCAGGTAAGACTCCTGTCTCTGATTGACTTAAATG